GATCTCACTAGCGCCCTGCTGAGCAACGGCGGGGTTACAGTCCGTGGGGAAGGCCGGCGCGAGAGCAGCGACACAGGCTGGGGTGGTTTACGTGAATCTCTGTACAGCGCACGGCACATCAAGGGCACATTGCGAGGCACGTACTGTTAACATTGCAGGTACCGGCCCTGCTGAGGAGAGGATTGATTGGGGAAGCAGAGACAGTGGTGGAGAGGACGGCGAGAAAGGCGACGAGGAAGAACTGCATTTTATAGAGGTTTAAATGGGCTGGCGCGGAGTATGGAAAAAAGGCAAATTATTGGTTGAGATCGGGGAAAGACGAGAAAGGGCCGTATGTTTGTGAGTTGAGTATCTGGCTCGGACTCCTCTTTATAGGTGAACGCAGACCAACTTGGCGAGCATGCCTACATCAGAATTTGTGCATATTCATAACGCTTGACGCCGGTACCCATGCCACCAGAAGGGACGCAGGAAAATATTGCTGCGCCGCAGTCGGGTGGGCGAGTGGTCGGTCTGTAATTTGAACGGTAAAAAATGGCTGACATGAGCGCTTGGGTCATGCGGTGGGTTTAATTCTTTGGTCTTCGCTAGCCGTACCGCGCGCTCTTCAGGTTATTCCGCCATCGAACCAAGTTTAACCCCGCCTACAGCTGAGGTGGACCATATCTTCAGGATCGCTTTCGGAGTCCTATTTTCACTTGATTTCTACGTTCTCTTGGGCGTTCCGCTGCCACATTCTCTGGCCCGCCGATGAACTCCGAATAGACCCGCGGGTGATCGCACTCCGATTAATGTTACAGCATCGCAGTGTACTTGAATCGCCTTTTTGGGAACCCAGTGGGGACGATCAATATCTGTAACCGTAGCAACATTAGCTCGCGCTTCTTCGGGAATTTAAATCCTGTGCTCTCATGGGCTCTGGGTGCGACAGGCCGCATGAATTTGGGGTCGCATTGCCCGCTAATATGACTGTGCTCCGACTCTACTATTCTACCCTGTCACGGAATTGACGACGGTGAATTGCTGTGCCAGTACTCAAAAATACATACTTACCTGGTGCTCATCTCGGAGCTGATTATCTCTCGCTTCGAGCAGCACTCCTGCGGACAGCGCGGGAGCCTTGAGTCCGCGCCATAGCTGCGCGGTCGGCGACTTCAGATATCCATTGGGCGACTCACTATCTTCAGACTCTACGGATATCCCTAACGTCCACGCCCAGGGACAGAGTCTGAGCTGAATTATCGAATTGGATGGCATAAAGTGCGCAGCACGGATTGTGCCACTACCGAGGCTTTCGAGGATAGTCAATTCAAGAGGCTCGACCAAAAGCAGGTGACGTACAGCATCTGAGCCCCCAGAGAAGTTTAGTCGATCGGCAAGGTAAACCCGACCCCAGGCCTCTTGTGTGATTAAGTGGGGACGGGGACGACAAAGAGGGGGGAATAGTGGTCGAAAGGTAGAGCGCGGGCGAGCTGGGGGAGGAGATGCTGGTGGAAAGAGATAGAATTAAATGGATGACATTTGGGGAAAAGCGCATGCATAATGGATGGTGACGAGGGGACCAGAAACGAACAGAGGGGAAAAAACCAAGATCGCATAGCGCTACTGGCAAGAGGGAGCAATCGAAGACGATGAGAACCCGGAAGTGATGGGGGGAGTGATGAGATGGGATGGAGGAAGAGACAATCCTTGGCCGCCGATCTTCCGGGAGAGGAGAGCCTGAGAGAAATTATCGAATTGGATGGCATAAATTGCGGAGCACGGATTGTGCTACTACCATCTGCATGTTGAGGCTGTCGAGGCTGTCGAGGATAGTCAATTCAAAAGGCTCGACCAACAACAGGTAACTTGAAATACTTACGAGGGAAGGGAATATAGCGCTAGATAATTATAATCCAATGCAACTCTGCCTCTGCAATGCAATCTGCAAAGAGGGTACATTTAAAATGTAAGCCAGCCCGAACGTGCGGACTGAACTCGCAGGAAATAGAACCCGCAGCCCAATCCCATTTCATTAAAGCCCAATCGGCATGCGACCAACGAACGGGAGGCGGAACGCCGGCCTCTTTCTTTCTTCCTTTCTCTCTTTGAGGGCGAGTTTCGTTTGCCATGAGGAACTCCAACCAGGACGATCAGACATATTTACTTATCATAGGAGTTGTTTGCCTCTGAATCGGATTAATGCCGGAGTCGTTGGCAGATGAACCGAACCGCAGGCTCTCGAAAGGTGGTAGGTTAATGTTGTGTCGATGAACTCGGATTTTTGGATTTTGTGATGCGGACTTGAATTACATAAGAGTGTACGACGGGCGGGGGCGAGGACGGCGGACCCGATATTAGCACGTACCAAATTGAATTATCTATTTGAATGTGTGGGTGGCACGAAGTTTCGGTATGGGTAGGGTAGGAGGGGAGGTAAGATGAACAGCATAGGCGTCATGATTAAGTAGGGACGCGTACGGGGACGGCACGGGAGGGGAATGGTGGTCGAGGGAGGGTAGAAGGGCATTGAGCGCGGGCCCCGGGTCTGAATTCGGGCGAGCGGGGGTGGAGGGAGACAGGAATAATAATGGATGGGATTTTGGGGGAAAAGGCATAGTGGATGGTGACGAGGGCAAACCAATATTGCGCTGCTGAAAAGAGCGAGTAAGCGAAGACGCCGCAAAGGCGACATTTGAGTTATTCCGGCCGGTCAATGTCGGTGCGATCACAGAAACGCTTGTATTAATGACTCCGAATTAGGGAAATAGATCCTGTCGCGCAGTCCCCAATAGCCGGCCTGCCTAGAGGTAAGGGAAAAAGTCGTACAATGAAGACTTAGTCGGGGGATTCTGCGCCACGAACGGAGGGAGGCATCATGGGAGTAGCGGGACTGAGTGCAGCTGGGGACAGCGGCTTGAACCGAGATTGTTTAGTTATTGCCAGTGGGCCGGACGAGGACGAAGGTGGACCTGGAGCTGGACGCGCCGTCACCAGTCATGTCGCGGAAATTTGAGAGTATTTAGTACTAGTTCTGCGCTGGCAGATTGGCGCTCGTGTGGCTGGTGATACGGGTAACGACGGAGACGGCACCAAAGGCGATGGCGCGGTAGCATTGGCACGGAGGTGTTCCTTTCTCGCAGCACGAGTGCGCGCGCGAACCGATGGGGGTGGAATGATGGGGGTGGAATAGAAACGGGTGGCGCTCTCGAAAGGCTTATGAGGCTTATGAGCCAAGCTGAGAGCACGATTGGAAATCAAAGTAAAGGACCTTATAGACACCGTGAGCCAGAGCGAAGAAAAGCGACGCGTCAGCGCGGCAAAGGGTACGTTTGGACCAAGGTCTATGCCCAGCCGCTTGGCAGAGCAAGGGGATCATTTTATTGCACAGCTTTCCTCGGCTGCTATTTCCGCTGCGCAGTATTTCTCTTGATTCCTTCCACCACCTCTTTCCTTCACATTTTACATTCACAACCTATGCTCCACCACATTGTCAAGCGAGGTATCGCGCACCTCCAGGGCGTGAGCCCAGAGTACATAGCCAAGCTGCAGCAGGACGCGCAGCTGTACGAGGATGCCGGTCCCGACATGGAGGTCGACCCACGGGAAGCGCTTCCAGTGCTCATTACGGGCGTTGTCGTGTTCCTCATCCTTGCCTCGGTGAGCCTTATGCTATGTATGACGGCTACACCTTGCTAACGTGTCCACCAGATCCGCTACACACTCGGTGATGTCGTCGCTTCTCTGGCGATGATCGAGTCTCCCTCCGCGACTGCCATCGTTGAGAAGAAGGAGCCGGTGTACACCGACGAGGAGTCCCTCATTCCCGCCGAGGCAGACGTCGAGATCACGTTCATCAACCACAAGCCTATCACCGCCAGCGTTTGCGCCACCATGGCCCACCTGCGCCGCGTTGGCGGCTTCTGCGCGCGCTGGCGCGGCCTCGGCGCCTACATCCTGTATAGCTTTCTGCACGGCCTCATCATGCTCATCTTCGGCCCCCTCCTCTCCGTGTTTGCCTCCATCCTCCTCGCCCCTATCCACATGCTCTGGACGCACAGCATGATCGCGCCCCCCTCCCCTCACTCCCTCCTCTCGCGCATCGTCCCCCTCAAGCAATGCGCGCCCCTCCTCCTCCCCTCCCTCACCGTCGCCCTCGCGAAACAAGCCACCCTCTTCCTCCCCCTCGCCCTCGGCGCCCTCCTCCTCGACGTCCCCCGCATCCCCGACCAAGTCCTCACCGCCGTGCAGACGAACGACCCCCTCTCGCTCGCGCTCCTCGCCCTGCGTCCCCTCGCCGTCACCCTCTCCGCCGCCCTCCTCGCGCTCTTCGTCCTCCTCCCCGCCTCCGCCGCCCTCACCCGCATCGAGGCCTCCCTCCTCCCCGCCGACGTGCACCCCATCGTCCCCTTCGACCGCTCCTTCGGCGCCGACTCCACCGCCGCACCCCGCTCGAACAAGGCGCTGTTCGCCGCCGCGTGGCGCTCCTTCGACCGCGCTGCGCGCCGCCGCGTCCTCAAGGTGTACGCCAAGCTCGTCTTTGCACAGGTTCTCGTCGCGACTGTGGGCGTGCTGCTGATGGCGGCGGAAGTGTACGTCATTGGCGGGGAGCGTCTTGCGATCTTTTATACGAGTGCGAGGGCGCAGATAGAGTTGATGCTCATTGAGCAGAATGGGGGGCTTTGATTCGGCGTTGATGAGCTGATCTACGGACTCACGCCCCACTCACTTAGCAGTTAGCATTTTATGTAGATTGTCGTCATTATTGTTTCGGTTCATATCGTACCGCGAGAGGGTTCTCTCAACATATGTACATGTGTGAGTCCAATCTGAGAAAGGGTGTGTGTTGATTCCAGCTTGGGCCGCGTCGTATTTCCACCCACCCTGCTATCATATCGACGAGGCTCGTCAAAGTTCACGACCATACAGCCAGGGTAAGTATTTCACGCCAATTCCAAAAGCCTTAACCGTAGCTAAACACTTATAAAATAATAAAGAAAAAGAATCTCAGACATGAAATATTCAGGCGCCGGGAGTCGAACCCGGAATATCCGCTCGCCGTAATAAAGAGACTTTTACCATGAAATGGAGGTGTGCCGGACACTACGCCCGATTTATTAGGCAAGTGCGGACCTCCAATAAGGCTGCGTGCTGCGTCATTCGTGTTACATGCTGGGATTCAAGCTGGAGCGGGCCGATGTTGTTGAAGATCAAAGAAGTGTATGCTGAAAACGAGTTACAGTTACTTACAAAAACACATACATACCGTCTCCATTTCTCAGTAGTAAGTACGAAATAAAATGAAAAAGATTTCGACGCGATGATCACTCGGGCGCCGGGAGTCGAACCAGGAACATCCGCTTGCCTCATTAATACTCCAGACGACATCCCATAGATGAAGCGGAGGTGTGCCGCACACTACGCCCGATTTATTATGCTGGGTTGTACATCTGGTGTTCTTACTGATTTTTGGAATGGAGAGGAAGGGAAGGGAAGGGAAGGGAAGAAGGGAAATGTTCGCTTGGACTGGAGTGGATCGGGAACCAGAGGCAGAGAGGTTGGTTTCAGTTTCACTTGAAGGGATAAAATTGAATATTGAATAGAGGCAGGACGCTATTGCCAACGAACTCAGGATACTCAAATTTTAAATTCTCAAAATGGCCAAGAAAAGGCCGAGAAAAAAATGAATTCGGGAGGGGATTACGGACGTTTGGGTTTGGGGCTGCAATGCCTCCCGCACACCGCTCCCGATAAATTCCATGTGCGTTTCTGGTGGACGTGGACGAGGGAGAGGTGGGTAATCTTTAATGTGAAGGAGGAATTGTTCAAGTCGACGATGTTGGAGGCAGAGGAGAGGAGAGGAGGGAATATTAATGTCAGAGGTGAGATCCAGACAGAATTTAGAGTTATAATGGAGGACCTAGAGCCTGATATGCATATGCATATGATCCTATAATATCTGTACTTATATCCAAGGCAAAGAAAGGGTGCGCCTCCGACCCGAGTCCTGAACGAAACGATGGGAAGAAAAGTGCTGAATAAATTTTGAAATGCGGATTCTACGCAGGGAGAAGAGAACGACATAAAACATGGACTCCTACAATCCCCAACACCGTTAAAATTATGGAGTTTGAAAATCTCGGCGGGCTCGGATGAGTTTCCGCCGCAGTAATATTTGTCTTCTGAGAATCATCCTCCATTGATTGCAGGTATCCATCACCACTATCCGGGGATTCAGTATCAGCCGAGGAATGATCCTCAACTAAATGTTCAACGAGTGAGAGCGTGATTTAACCCATTTGAAATGACTGACCGTGGGCGAACAAGGGTTCGGGCCAGGGGCGGATCTGATACAGCGGATATCCCAAATGTGAGGCCACATCCTGACTGTCTGGGTCGAAGTCTTTCGCCAGGTGGAATTGGCGGAGGGCGTGGTAAAGATAGCTTTCCCATGAACGGACTGAAACCCGAATTCTAAGCTGCGGAGCTGGGAACCCGCAATTTACCGACTCTGTAAGGCTCAGTCTGGGGTGCCGGAGGGGTCGGGGGACCAGTATGCGTGGGCCTCTGCGTGTTGAAACAAGCCATCTGATGTTTGAAAATCCTCCAGAGGACATAGGAACAGATACCCATTTGGTAGAGATTGTGGGAAATCCAATGTGAAGTCGATCCCATTGACCAACCCTGTGATATCCCGGGTCAATCAAGCGTGTGGGTACCAGTCCGGCATACCATATTTTTCGTAGTTGTCTGTGATTTGAAGGTGACTCAATATGTGATTGGCTTGGGAAAGCCATACACAATATTCCGAGGAGCCCCTTGCTAATCTCAAGCACAGAGATACTGGCAGATTGGAAATCTCTGAAGACTCAAAACTGTGGAATACCAAGCATTAAAAGAGATTCGTCCCAGGACGTGGTGACGTACCGAGTCCAACCATTCTGCATCGGGATCCCTCTACTTTGGCCACAATGCCAGCCGTCATCGAGGAGTTTGCGATTAGGCACCCACGCTAGCTGGTCCAGCTCATTGATCCAGCCTGAGCGAGGGATGTGGACGAAGGCTCCCAGCCGTACCGAACGATGTCCTGGATCCATGTAAAAAAACGATCATCCGAAAGCCCTGACAGAAGATCACAGAAGTCTTGGAAATCCAAAGAGGAGACAATGATGGAGTCGGAATTTGTGCCCAGATGAGCACGGTGGCGCGGTATATAATGCATGGGAAGTGCGAGGATGTTGTCTTCAAATTCTTCTCCGCCTTTGCTCAGGATCTCAATTGCGAGTCCGCTGGTTGACTGTCGTATCCAAGGGGTGAATGACAGTTTGGACTGCAGGCGGTTCAAAACACCCATATATGACGAGGAAGCAAATCACTTGCCAGAGAAGCTCCTTGGGAAGCAAGATAGTTTGCGGCGTCCTAAGAGTTGTGAGACCTTGGGAGGGAGCCAATAGAACACACTCTCACTTTCGCATCTTACCTCTGTCAAGAATGAGCGCAATTATACACCTTGAAAGGTTTAATGTTTCAGAAAGAGACATACGGCACAATAGGCAAGATAGGTTCGGGTGAGCGATTCGTTCTTAAAGTCATACTGGTCGATGTCGTAACAATATTGGTCAAAGGATATAAACTCTGGATCGAGTCAGCAACAGGGAGCCAAAGAGGACGGTAGATACGAGCCATCATGGAAGATTGTAGCATATAGACCACTCGAGTTGACCGCCCCGTAAATTTGAAAGATGTTTGGGTGCCTTTGTAGGTTTGGCGTTTTTGTTGGGGTATAATTTGGATTGTAGAACTCACCGAATTCCTGAAAGTTTGGAGTTCGCGGCGCCATGCCTAGGAATATGAAGACGCACCAAATGGGTTTTTCATTAATTTAACGCACCTGCTCTCCCTCATCACCCTCGTACACTGCAGCCGTCATGGTTGACACTCGACCATCCAGGCGGACGTGGTAAAGCTTTCCAGTCAATCGTTGCCGGGTTATCATGCCGGGCCCATCCTCTAAGCGGATCTCATGGAGTAGGTCGAGGTCTCCCAATGGGAGCATTCGAAAATCTCGCATTTTGAGGTAAGCACTGATGAAAGAATTGTATGAAAGGGGCTGACCATGGCGGACAGTCGGCGCGACTTGGGTGACATGGCTAGTGTACGTGCCGCCAGCAATATTAAAATGCCGCGCGTGAGGGAAAAAGGTGCCCGTGTTGCTGTATTCCCAATGAGTAACCGAGACGCAGAGAGCCAAAAGAGCGCACTGAGGAAGATTCAATTCTGAGACGGCAGATGTGAGTGTCTCCATTAAAGGGGCTCCGTCTTCCATAGACGATGATGAGGGAGGGAAACAAACTGATTAAGCGCCCGTTACAGCTTCCTGAGAAGATTTCGTATGTCACTTGTCAGGGGTTAGGCTGTGCCGCACTCAAGGGGGCGTCGGGATTAAAATTCCGTATGTGGGGAGGGGGGTCCAGGGTGGGCCGAAAAAAACTTTTTAGTACATCAAGTTTAGAGCCTCAAAATGGCTCATAGACCATGAGAGGAGTGTTGGCTGGTTGTAGTGAACACATATAGACCGTACATAACAAGATTTATCAGTTTGACCCCATGCTTTCTGTGATTCCAGCCAAGTGGGGTCATCTGTGATTTGCATTCAGGTCAGATATTACTGAGCTGTGGGAGTGCAGAATATTAAATCTATCACCTGCACTCATTATATGGTATACACAAGCCTGATTAAGCCCCACGAAAGTGTAGGAAGTAAGCCGGAAAGCGGCGGCTGGGTGCGGAGAAGCCGGTCCGGCCCTAGGGGTGGGAAACTCCTTCCCTATAAGGAAGGAGGGGGAGGGGGGGAGGTCAGCTTGGGGTCGAAAAAATCTTTTCAACCCTATATCCGATTTTCGAATCCCGACGCCCCCTTGACCGCACTCCTGGGACATGGAAAATGAGGACATTGGTTCCCTGGCAAAAAGATTATAAAAGATGGGGCCCAAAATGAATGAGCAAGAAGAGAGAAAGGAGAGATTCAGATTTCCAGCAGAGGGACTCTGTCCTCTATAGATGGTGGTGAGGGAGAGAAACAAACTGATTAAGCCGAATAGAGTAAATCAGAGGATCGATTTTCATAGAGTAAATCTGACCAAATTTCCGAAAAGGTTTGGACCAACTTTACCCCAAGTGACCGGAGGCCTGAGCTTACACGGCGCCGGTCAGCAAACATCAGTTTTCAGCAATTTTCTCGGTGTACAAGCAAGCTGGTACGCCATCGCGCCTGGATTTATATTTTCTCTGGACCATAGCGCGCGTCAATGGGACTTGGCACCTAATGCCAGATCGTTCGCAAATACCATCGTCTGCGCCAAAAGATCAAGCCTTCGCCGCAACAACAGACAAAACAAAACCCATTGCCAAAACAAAAAGAGAAAAGAGGAAGGAAAACAAAACCAAAACATGACACAGAGCACTCGCCGCAGGGAGTAGAACCCAGAACATCTGCTTGCCTCAGTGATGAACAGTCTCCGGAGATGAAACGGAACACTACGCCCAATTTCTTAGGCCAGGTTGTACCTCTGGCGTTTTTACGGATTTTGGAATGGAAGTCGCGTTTGAACTGGAGGCAGAGAGGTCAATTTCACTTGAAGGAATAAATCAAAAGAATAGATGGAGGAAAGACGCCATTGCCAATGAATACCTCAAGGAGCAGCTCCTGAGGCCGCTCAACTTTCTCAAACCGGCCGAAAAACAAAAGCTTTGGGCGGCGGGGAGGGGATTAATATCCAGGTGCAGGGAGGCGAACCCGAACTCGGATGTTTGACTTTCACTTTCACCAGCCGGCGGATGGAATCCGGATGGACGTTTGAATTTTGGCGGGTGTACATGCCTGCCGCAGACCACCACTATGCCCGATAAATTCCAGAAGTGTTTTGTTACGTGGACGGCGGATACGAATACGTGGCCGAACTTTGATTTGCTGAAGTAGACGATGTTGCTTGCAGAGGAGAGGACAAGAGAGAATATTGATGTCCAAGGTGTTCAGACAATACTTTCAACGGTGCCTGCCTTACTGCCGCTGTAAAGGGTACGGCCACCTTGCTGAGTACTTTCATGCATAAA